ACCCTGACTGCATCCTGTGCCTTCTCCGGTCCAGGACATGTTAGCCCTGCAGATCATCGACCTCTTCAAGAACATCTTCCAGCTGGTCGGCCTGGACCTCTTTGTTTTTCCCTACCGGGTGGTGGCTACTGCCCCTGGGGTGAGTTCCTGGGGTGTGGTAGGCAAAGGGCCAGCACTTCACTGCTCCCACCTGACTGTCCCTTCTCCCTCCCTCCTAGTGTGGGGTGATTGAGTGCATACCGGACTGCACCTCCCGAGACCAGCTGGGCCGCCAGACTGACTTCGGCATGTATGACTACTTCACACGCCAGTATGGGGATGAGTCCACGCTGGCCTTCCAGCAGGTAGCCAGCCCCACAGCCTCAGCTCACCTCCTGTCTGCACTCCACACAGCTGCGCTCACTGCTGTGAGCTCTGCCTTAGTTACACAGAGCCAGGTGAGACCACAGCCCTCTCCACATAGGCACGCTACAACTTTATCCGAAGCATGGCCGCCTACAGCCTCCTGCTGTTCCTGCTGCAGATCAAGGACAGGCACAATGGCAACATCATGCTGGACAAGAAGGGCCACATCATCCACATCGGTCAGCCAGGCCCTAGGGGGCTGGGAACGAGAATGGCAGCCCACACTCTGGGTAGACGGGAAGCTGATGGAGTGTCTCTTGCTCTAGCCTGGCACGAGCTCCTCCTCCCCCACTCAGGCCCCTGTAGCTAAGACCCTCTGCTAGAAATAAACCACCCTGACCTCGCTCCTGCCCCAGTTACAGGCAGCTTTTTGGGATTTTGCAGACTTCGGCTTCATGTTCGAAAGCTCACCAGGTGGCAACCTTGGCTGGGAACCAGACATCAAGCTGACAGATGAGATGGTGATGATTATGGGGGGCAAGATGGAAGCCACACCCTTCAAGTGGTTCATGGAGATGTGTGTCCGAGGTTATCTGGCTGTGCGGTGAGCCCATGGGCCACGTGGAAGGGATGTGAAGGTGGGAAGGAGGAAGTCAGGCTCAGTAGCACTGACATCAGGTGGCTGGTTACAGTCAGAGGCCTGTTACTCCAGCTCCACCATCCACTGCCCACACACACGTGGGCACACACATAATTTTTTGTTTCAAGACAAGGTCTTGCCGGGCGGTGGTGGCGCACACCTTTAATCCCAGCACTCGGGAGGCAGAGGCAGGAAGATCTCTGTGAGTTTGAGGCCAGCCTGGTCTACAAGAGCTAGTTCCAGGACAAGAACCAAAAACTATGGAGAAACCCTGTCTCTAAAAATTAAAAAAAAAAGAGAGAGAGAGAGACAAGGTCTTACTATGTAGCTCTAGCTGTCCTGGAACTCACAGAGATCTGCCTGTCTCTGCCCCCCAAGTGCTGGGACTAAAGGTGTGTGCCACTACCACCCAGCCATAAATCTTTAAGAAGTGAAGGGCCTTGCCTTCTAATCACTTAGTCTACCTTTGTGAGCAGCTTCCAGCTCTGAACCACCAGCCCCATCCTGCAGTCTCCCACAGCTGACCTCATCTGCCAGCAACCTCCAGCCTTGGGCTCCCCCTCGGGACTTCCTGGCCACCCTTTCCCCATAGCCCCCGCACCTCCAAAGCTACATGATAGACTGACATCAACCCGATGGCACATGGGAGTATCACCTTGCCACTTCCCACATGCTACTGTGGTTAAGTCCAACAGAGCATCTTTGAAACCACAGCTGGAAGCCTGGCATGTGGGGGATAGGGAAGGACACTCAGCCATACCGGCTGCCTGAGCATGGCTGGGGGAAGCAAGCCAACTGGTGGAAAGTAGAGGTGGATCACTGGACTGGTAGCTGGGTCCTGCTCAGGCTGGCTTTGTTTCCTCCCCTTGCTGTCTCCACAGGCCCTACATGGATGCAGTCGTCTCCCTGGTTACACTCATGTTGGACACAGGCCTGCCCTGTTTCCGAGGCCAGACAATCAAGCTTTTGAAGTAGGTGCCTTGGGGAAGGGCTCTCACTGTGCTGGGGCTCTACCTAGAAACCTTTTGTGTCCTGGGAACCCCAGAGCAGTCAGGCTTCCTGGATAGCAAGATGGCCTTGAGCTCCCCACGTGGCCTACTAGTTGCTGGAAAGGGTCAGGGGCCACACTAGGTCACAGCAGGAAGGGGCCCCAACAGGTTCCCACAAATGCAGCCTTTCATCTCTCTCCAGACACAGGTTCAGCCCTAACATGACAGAGCGAGAGGCAGCGAATTTTATCATGAAGGTCATCCAGAGCTGTTTCCTCAGCAACAGGCAAGTCGCCCACGTCCCTGAGCCTTGCCAAGGGTGAGCAGGTGGGAAGGGCTCTGAGAGATGAGGCTCCTCACTCTCCTGCTTGGCCTTCCAGGAGCCGGACCTATGACATGATCCAGTACTACCAGAACGACATCCCCTACTGAGGCAGCCTGGGCGTGGAGCTGACAGCTTCACAGACCCTTGTTCAGGAGACTGAGCAGCAGTTATGCTGTGTGCGTAGGTGTGAGAGCACAGGTGTGAGAGCACAGGTGTGAGAGCACAGGTGTGAGTCTCTGTGCACTGGACACATTCCCCACTTGTTCACCTGTCTTACTACATGGGTACATGAAGTATTTTCTTGTGTAAACATGGAAAAATAAAAATCCCCAAATGTGCTACATTTGCTTTGTTTGCTAGCCTCAAACCTACCTCCCTGTAGTTGAAGCTGCCCTTGGATTCTGGTCCTTTCGAGTCACTGCCGAGCTCAAGGAGTCTGCTTTTGGTTTTGGTAGGATAATCAAACCCAGGGCCTATGCATACTAGGCAAACACCTCAGCCCTAGCTGTGTGTAGCCTCGGCCTGTGACTCATCCCAACAGGCATTCTCTCCAAGGAGAGACTTTCCTAGGCTGGTCTTTGTCTCCATATCTCTGTAGTTTAGTGGTGAAAGTTCTTGCCTTGCCTGACATGCACAAGGCCCATGCCCAGTAGCCCCCAAACGACAGTCAGAAGGCGGGAATGAAAGCAGAGTCTGGGTGGGAAAGAAACTGAGAAAGCAAACAAAAGTGAACCTTAGAGTAGCAGCCCAAACCTGTAATCCTGGCCACTCCCAGCCTTGCTTTTGTTTGGTTTTGGTTTGGTTTTCTTTCATTTCTTTCTTTTTTACTTTATTTATTTATTTTTTAATTTTTGTTGTTTTCAAGACAAGGCTTCTCCCCATGTAACAGCCCTGGCTGTCCTGGAACTCACTATGTAGACCAGGCTGGCCTTAAATAACAGAGATCCACCTTCCTCTGCCTCCTGCGTCACCACCTCGCTACTGGTTTTGGTTTTTTGTAAATTATTTGTGAGTGTAGTTTGCACACTGTGACCATACCTGGTGTTTGGGGAGGGGGCCAGAAGAGGGCATCAGACCCCCTGGGACAAGAATTACAGGATGTTGTCAGACACCTGGTGTAAATACTCTAAACTGAGCCCAGACCCTCTCTAAGAGCAGCAAATGGAAGCCAGGTAGTGGTGGCACACGCCTTTAATCCCAGCATTTAGAGGCAGAGACAGGTGGATCTCTGAGTTCGAGGCCAGCCTGGTCTACAAATTGAGTTCCAGGACAGCCAGGGCTACATAGAACAATCCTATCATATATAGAGAGAGAGAGCAGCAAATGGGGGCTGGAGAGATGACTCAGTGATTAAGAGTACTGAGTGTTCTTCCAGAGGTCCTGAGTTCAATTCCCAGCATCCACGTGGCAGGTGAAAACCGACAACTGTAACTCCAAGATCTGATACCCTCACACAGACATGTATGCAAACACAACACCAGTGCACATAAAATAAAAAGGGTTAGCAAATGCCATTCATCATCTATCTCTCTAGCCCCCACTTAGTTTCCTGAGACAGTTTCTCATTGGCTGGAGCTCCCTAGCATGCCCCTGTCTCTACCTCCCCAGCCCTGGGGTCACTGACACGACCACCACATCCAGCTTTTGGGGGGAGGGCAGGGGGCTGGGACAGGGTTTCTTTGTTGCTTTTAAGCCTGTCCTGGAACTCGCTCTGTAGACCAGGCTGGCCTGGAACTCATGGAGATCCACCTGCCTCTGCCTCCCAAGTGCTGGGATTAAAGGTATGCACCACCACCGCCAGGCTACATCCAGCTTTTTTACATGGGTTCTTGGGATCAAACTTCCATCCTTGTGCTTGCAAGACAGCCATCACCTCAGCCGAGGAGCTGAAGGCTCCAATGGACAGAGCGTATAGGCTGCTGGGTGTGATTAACCTCAACCACAACCGATGCTTTCTCCGAGTTCATCTTCATTGACCGTTTTGTTGGGCCATTAAGCATGTTGCCAAGAAACTATAAAAAGCTATAATTGTTTAAATGGCGTGGTTATAGTTCAGCATTCACAAATGCTTAGTTCGATCCCCAGAACAGAATAAACCACACCTGGTGGCTCATGTCTGCAATCCAAACACTCAGGAGCCAGAGGTAAGATGATCAGTAGTTCAAGATCACTCAGCTACATGGAACAGCATGAGACCCCCGCCCCACCAAATAAGTAGTCTAGAGCTTATATGTGCTGGATCAAAGTTCAACCCACACTGATTTTCACTGAGCAGACATTCCTCGTATACACTAGCACGTTTCTCACGAAGCCCACTATCGGTGTGCTCAGATGCTGTGAGGAAGTTTGGGTTTGGCGAACTCAAACCTGCCCAGGGGAACCCCAATGTTGCAGGGAAATTGGAGTAATTCCGGGGAAAATAATCCACACACCAAGGAGGGAACTTGACAGGCCAGCACTCATCCTGCCCAAAGCTCAGGCTCACAGTAGCAAACGACTCCCTAGGGGGTCGGGCTGGAGGACAGTCCGGGCACCCAAGCAGCCCAGCTGTTGGACAGTACCCCTGCGCCCAGGTGACAGGGGGTCTCTGGGCCCATAGGAACACACAAGCTCCACCCCGCCCTTTTCACACAGGTAGGCACCCCAAAAACCACAAAGGAGACAGAGATGCAGCAGGTGGCAGAAGCCGGCATGATGCGCTCTAAGCAGGCAGCAGTCCATGCGCGCGCAATTCAAGCAAAGGCGACAACGTGTAGCGCAGCCTACGGAAGACTGTGTCCGAGCCAAGACTACTCGGGAGCCCCTGGCCGACGGTGTTGGGCTTCCCCAGCGCCACGTAGAGCAGCGGCAGCGCCAGGAAGCCCAGTGGGAGCAGCAGCAGCGTCTGCAGTGCGCTGAGCGCCCACAACCTGGGAAACCACCAACGAACACATGGGTGGTGGCTCCGAGACCCCGAACCCGGACTACCGGGCCACCGCTAGCCACTCACCTGATGCTCCCCGCGCCCGCACCGCCAAACAGCCGATTTTCCTGCAGAGAAAGGGACGCATTCAGCTCTGCGCCAGGAACTAGCCAAGTCTCCCCGAGAAAGCAGGTCTGGGCCCCAGCTTCGCCCGCGCGCTCCGGCCCGCGCTCACACAGTCAGCCCTAGCCACCTCCTCCATGAGTGAGCCCGCGCAGTCCTGCACCCGACGAGGCTGCGAGTTCCACCTGCGGGATAGGCACGGAGATGGGCCACCTGGCCCGGCTTTAGCACTGCCCTGCCGTCCTCCCTAATCCCAACCCTTACGGTTCCGCGCCACCACGCGTAGCCTCCAGCGCAGCCGCTGCCTCCATCACCTTCCCCTGCAGCTCCTGGAGAGTGGCAACAGGGACTCAGGGCGGAGAATGCGGTCCACCGCGGGTCAGGGGGTGAGGAGAAAGGGTTGAGGCCGCAGAGCGTTAGAAGTGACCGGCTCTCAGAACCGAGAACCCGCACCTGCAGGACTGCGCTCTGCTCCTGGAAGCTGGCCCAGGCCTCTTCCGTACGCTGCGCGCCCTAGAAGCCAAGGGCCTGGGTGAGCATCGCCAGGACATGCCCTCTCCACGCGTCCTCCCCTCAGAGCCCAGCACTGTTCGCACCTGTCGCAGGTCCTCTGCCTGCATGGTGAATTTGGCCTCCGCCAGCTCCAGATGTTTCTTCGAAAGAATCCAAGTGATATCAAGAACCTGTAAGCCTCGCACACCGCTGTGTCCCGGGGCTTGGTCTCCCCCGCCCCCGGGTGTTAGGTTGCTGGCTTTCGGGTCCGACCCTCTACCCACGCAAGCGCACGGCCCTGCCCACAGCCATTCCCCGCCCATGGCCCCGCCCAGGCCCCGCCCAAGTACCTGCAGTGCCGCAAGTTGAGTTCCCAGTCGCTGCTCTGCTCGCTGTTGACTCAACTCTTCTCCTCCATAGTAGAAAAGCTGGGAACAGAGTTTGTGAGCGCCTGGTTTATGGGACTTGGGGGCGAGGACGTGACCTGGGACATTCCGTACGTACCTGGCTGGACAGCTCCTCCCACTCTTCCTGCAGCTTCCGATTTTGTTGCTCCTGCGGACAGAGTCCAGGCTGTCTAGGCCCCTCCGCTAGCCTCGCCACCCCGGGCTCCACCTCTTGTTCTTGCCCTTACCAGGTCCAGCCGGTGCTGCTCCGCGGCCTCCAGTAGCCCACGAGCCTGCTCCGCGCGCTCCCGTGCCGCCTCGCGCGCCTCCCCTCGAATCGCCCGCGACGCTTGACTTTGTCTCCGCTGCAGGCTGCGCGGCGAGAGGGGGTGGGGGGCAAATGGTCAGGGATGAAACTAAGGCGCAGGATCCTGTGGGAAGGCCCACCGCCAGCCTGAGAGTTCCAGACTGAGCCCACTGCCCAGAGCCGAGGCTGCCTGTAGCCTGCCCTGGGCCCTCGGTGCCCTCGCACCTGCGCTCGCGCTCGCGCAGCTCGTCCAGACGCCCGGTGAGGCTCTCGCTCTCGGCTTCCAGCCCACGCACCAGCTCCTCCAGCTCCTGCTTCCGCAGGCGGCCGTCACGGTTGTCCTTCTGCAGCTGCAGCAACTGCTCCAGCGGCTCAATCATAGCTCCAGCACTCTGTCCGGACCTCCGCCCGGACCTCCGCCGCCTGAGCGGCCCTGTGGCCCGCGTCATAATGGGCAGCAGGGGGCGCCAGAGCCCGACCCAAGAAAGGCCACGCCCGATCAATTCGGTATACAATTTTTAGTAAAGCGGAACTTGGTGGCCCATATTAATACTCCTCTCTCCTGGGGTGTGGGAGACACGAAGGTCAGAAGTTTAAGGTCATCCTTTGCTGCGTAAGCAAATTTGAGGCTAGCCAAGGCTACATGTGGACCTATATCGGATTGATAACAAGTTTACAAAATTCTAGGTAAAGACTGGACTTGACAGTTCATGCCTGTAATCCCAGAAATCCAGAGACTGAAGCAACAGAATCGATGACCTTGAGTTCAAGCTCAGCATAACGATATAACAAGAAGACTCTGACTGGAAAACAATGAGAGAAACTGAACTACCACAGTAACTAATCATGGGGTAAATCAGGTGTACCTCACCTTCGATTCAGAGCAAAGAAATAGGATTTTGAAAAAACGTTTAAAATTAAGTTCCTTTTAATTTGGCTAATCTGTAGCGCAGGTTACATCTTGTTTCTGTGTCCAAAGGTTTGTGCCACCATCCCTGGCTAAAAATTGGCAGAAGAAAAACACTGTACTATGTTAAAAAGGTGACAGTTGAGGCAAGATAGAGAAACAAAATTAGGACCCGGGAAATGAAAGGAGCCAGCACCCCCATCCTGGAGCCTCACCAGGGTCTACATTTGCTGTGGACACACAGATAATAAGCTGCTCCTTCGCAGACACTGGATGCTAACATCGAATGTGTGTGCCCTTGCACAGAGCATCACCACAAACGCACACATGCGTACACACCCGCCTGCCAGCACACACACAGCACAGCTACTAACTTTCCATTCCTGTCTTACTGGCAGTAATCCTATCAGGAACCCTCTGAAAGCTCCCTGTCATCTCGGATTTCAGGCACCTTGGCCAGCCTCAAAACCTACCTGTTAGCATCGAAAGGAATAACAGGGGACAAGCCCCACAAGAGACTCCCAAATCTCTAGTGTGAACTCTAATTGGTCTTAATAATAAGAACCTTGAGTCAGATATTGGAATAAATGCTGAAAGATTTATTATCAGAGAAGTTAAGGAGTCAGCCACTAGAGAGACCTTTTACCTCTACCAAATCCTCAGATCAAAGGGAGCAAGATCCTGTCTCTACTGAATGGGTTGAGCTTCAGTCTCCTCTGGCCTTATACTCCTCTCTCTGCCCGGCCACATCACTCCTGTCTCCACCTCCCTAGTGGGATTAAAGGCGCGACACCCCAAGTGCTGGGATCACCTTTGTGTGAGCCCTGTTTCTCTTTTAGATTGGATCAATTTCATATAGCTCAGGGTGGCCTTGAACTAATGGAGATCCTTCTGCCTCTGACTCCCGATTAAAGCGTGTGCCACCACTTCCTGGTCTCTATGGCTAACTAGTGGTTTAGCTCTGCACTCTGATCTTCAGGCAAGCTTTGTTAGATTACAAACTATCACCACACACACCCACACTTGCCTGTGTCTTGCTTCTTTGAGGAGCCCACACCTTTGTTTCTGGGATGAGCCGTTTCTTCTGAGCTTCTCGCCGTCTCTTAACCCTCATACTCAAAGTCTGTATTATCTTAGGCTAAGACATGCTCAGCAGACAAGCCCAGTAAACTCAGTTCAATCTATAGAAACAGCGTGAAAGGAGAGAGCTCCAAAGTTCCTGTGTTAGGACTCGGGCATCTGTACTGGCCTGTTATTGGGGTCCTGACAGCCACTACAGCCACTAAGAGCACCTCCTGTGCACATTCACTACTACGCTCCCTTTTATTTTTTTATTTTTTTATTTTTTTTTTGGTTTTTCGAGACAGGGTTTCTCTGTGGCTTTGGAGCCTGTCCTGGAACTCGCTCTGTAGACCAGGCTGGTCTCGAACTCACAGAGATCCGCCTGCCTCTGCCTCCCGAGTACTGGGATTAAAGGCGTGCGCCACCATCGCCCGGCCTACGCTCCCTTTTATTTATTTATTTTTTTTTCTTTATTTTTCCTTTTTTTTTTTTAGATTTATTTATTTATTATGTATACAACATTCCTTCCATGCATGCCAGAAGGGGGCACCAGGTTTCATTATAGATGGCTGTGAGCCACCATGTGGTTGCTGGGAATTGAACTCAGGACCTTTGGAAGAGCAGTCAGTGCTCTTAACCTCTGAGCCATCTCTCCAGCCCCCTACGCTCCCTTTTAAAAGGTGGGCCTTGCACTCTCTCTTCTGTTCCTCTTGTCCACAGGGACTGGTCTCTGCCCCATCTCTTCCAATAATCCCATGTGAGTCCTGTTGTATGGTGTGACTTCCCTTCACGGTGTTTTAAATAACAACACTCTAACCTGTACACATGGAGGCCATGGCACAAGTGTGCCACCCCCAACATCAAAGACACACAAAATACTAAGTTCCATTTTATGTTTATGGATGGATGTTTTACCAACATGCCTATGCACCATGTGCATGCAGTGCCTGTGGAGGCCAGAAGAGGGCATCAGATCTCCTAAAATGACTTACGGATTGTTTTGCGTGGTGGGTGCTGGGAATCCAACCAAATCCTCTGGAAAAGGACTCATAACTGGGGAGCCATCTCCCCAGTCCCCAGTATGTTTACTAAAACCTTGAGTCCGCTTTATACTGACCAACCCTTCAATACTTTTCTGTGTCAAAGCCCGGAGTCTATGGCCTGAGGTCGCTAAAAGCTAAATGGCGGCTCCTCAGGCTGCTCTGAGCAACAGAGGGCAGTGCCTCGTCCCCACCTCTCTTGACAGAAACTTTACAAAATGACAGCAACTAAGGACTTGGCTGGCTGACCTTTGTCCACAACTTAGGAAACTTTGGCCTTTTCCTGGCCACAGACTCAGCACACAGACAGGCTGTGAAACGCTGCTCTTTGCTGGCCAGATCTGGACCCAGCCTCACTTGGGGAGTGAAGGACAGCCCTGGTCTGAGGGTTTCTTCCCGCTGCCTAGGGACCATCTCCTGCCAGTGGGTCAGTGCGCAGTGGATATACATACTATGTATGAGGCTGTAGTTGCTAGGGAAATGGTTAATGTTCACCCTCCTAATGGGACACTCACATGTTTGCTCTCTGGGCATTTCCTCAGGGCTCTCTCATGCCTTCTCCACCCCTCACCCAAGGTCCAAAATTATATCTCCACTATGATAAACATTTTGGTCTGGCCATCCCACTGTTCAGCTGCACTGGGATGCCCTGGGCCAGTTTCTGCAGAGCCTGCACGGCCCAGACCTCCCTTTGCTGGTCCTGTTCTGATGCCTCCAGCCTTATGAAGTCTTTACACTAGGTTTCCCCAATTCCTATTACAAACTACAGACTTATCCCCCAAACTTGAGGGCCATGGTCTCGAGGACAGTGCTAGCTGCCTTAGGTCACCCACTTACCACCTCCATCACCACAGCTTCAGGCTGGGTCACTCCCAACTCCCCAAGGTCTGCTTTTTGTTATTTTGTTTTTCGAGACAGGGTTTCTCTGTGTAACAGCTTTAGCTGTCCTGGAACTAGTTCTGTAGATCAGGCTGGCCTGGAACTCACAGAGATCTACCTGCCTCTGCCTCCCAAGTACTAGGATTAAAGGCGTACACCACCACCACCCAGCTAAAAGTTCACTTTAAGGATGGAATTTGTCATGAACTCAAAACTAGCTCAAGCCAACCGACCTCCTTACTCTTGTGCCTGGACATAACTAGAGTATGGGCCAGGTGTGCCTTTAATCCCTGCAGGCAGGCAGGTCTATAGGCAATTCCAAGCCAGCCTCTCTCATAAAACATCCTGAGTCTGACTGCACAGAATCCAAGTTGGGTAATCATATGAGGAGAAAGCCATCGAGGAGGGTGCATTATTCAGAGATATGTGTACATTCTACATGCAAGTAAATCATCCAGGCTACCAAATATATTATTATAAGAGAGGTACAAACAGATCAAACCACATGGAGCCCCAGGCTGCTTGCTGTGCTGGTTTGAATAGGTATGGCCCCCACAGACCCGTGTGTTTGAATCTTTGGCCTATGGGGAGGGGCACTGTTTGGAGGCATGGCATTGTTGAGGCACATATGGCCTCGTTGGAGGAAATGTGTCCCTGTGGGGGTCGGTTTTGAGGTCTCTTATGCTCAAGCTATGCCTACTAAGGGAGAGTTCACTTTCTGTTGCCTGCGGATCAAGATGTAGAACCCTCAGGTACCTCTCCTGCACCTCCCTGGCTTCAGCCATGATGATGATGGATTAAACCTCTGAACTGTAAGGCAGCCCCGGTGAAATGTTTTCCTTTGTAAGAATCAGCAGAGTCATGGTGTATCATCCCAGCAACGGAACCCTGACTGAGACACTTGCTGACTCGACAGCACTGGCTAAGGTAGGGGTGCACTACAAAGTTACCAGACATACAGGTTGGTGGCAGCTCGTGTATTCCAGAGCTGCCAGGCCGCCCGTCTAGAAGCAAAGGCCAAGCAGAGAAGGAGCAAGTGTCCTGGACTCCTCTAGGCTAGCTTGCATATACTACTTTCTGACATGGAAGTCAGCGATGATGGCTCATAGGTGCTGCCTAAATGCTAATCCAGCGACACCCTTTGGGGTGATGAGCTTTGCTACCTGTGGTCAGAGAGAACAGAACTGAACTTAACAGACTGACCTCAAAATTATATGGGGCTATTTTTCTAAATTTGCTGGCCAGCAGCTGAGACATGACAGGATAGAACTCTTAGCAACACTCAGGGCTTCCTCACAAGCCTTTCTGTATTTTCAGGGACTACAGCCCCAGGCCAGGCTCATGCACACAGAACAGGGCCTTCTCTGGATTCCTACCCTATTCAGAAGAACCAGTCCCACCTCTCCCCTCCCCATCCCGTCCCAACGAGTCTGCTGTTTTTGTGGGGTTTTTTTTCTTTGTTTTGTTTATCTAGACAGGGTTTCCCTGTGTAACAGTCTTGGCTGTCCTGAAGCTCACTTTAGAGACCAGGCTGGTCTTGAACTCAGAGATTCATCTGCCTCTGCCTCCCAAGCACTGGGATTAAAAGCAAGCACCACCACCACTGGCCTTGTCTGGTTTCTATAGGTCAGCAGGCATCAGGTACCCTGAGCCTGACTGCTGTCCTTGCCTGCATCTGTCCTCACTCAGCCTGACCACACACCCAAGTTCCATTCCCTCCAGTGGCTCCTGCCTCCCTCAGGCCCCAAGCTGGAAAGAGCCTCAAAGCCCAGCAGTAGCCCAGGCCATATGAGTTAAAGTCTTACATGTGCCCATACATTCCTACTCAGATTCTGGAAAATCATTAGAATAGACCACCACACGTGACCTAACAGCCTGTGTAGCGATCGTTGCTGTCAGTGTTAATAGTCTGTAAATGGTGGTACAGACCACTTGCACTAGATACTTGATGTGGGAGTGATTTCTTATTAATAAAGAAACTGCCTAGGCCCATTTGATAGGCCAACCCTTAGGTAGGCGGAGTAAACAGACAGAATGCTGGGAGAAAAAAGCTGAGTCAGGGAGTCGCCATGATTCTCCCACCCAACACAGCCGCAGGTTAAGATCTTCCCTGGTAAGCCACCTCATGTGCTACACAGATTATTAGAAATGGGTTAGATCAATATGTAAGATCTAGCCGATAAGAGGCTGGAACTAATGGGCCAGGCAGTGTTCAAAAGAATACAGTTTGCGTGTAATTATTTCGGGTAAAGCTAGCCGGATGGCAGGAAGCAGCCCTGCCACTCTTATTACAACAGATACTAAGAACAAGGCATCAGAAGTTCCCTTTTGGAGTTAGGGAAATGGGAAGTGGAAAAGTGTTGAGGACTCAAGCCCCACATATTGGGGGCTAGCTCTGAGGTTAAGTGCACCAACTCTTCTCCCAAAGGACCTGGGTTCAATTCCCAGCACCCACATGACAGTTTACAACTGTCTGTAATTCCAGTTCCAAGGGACCCAACCCTCTCACACAGACATACACGCAGGCAAAACACTAATATTCATAAAAATAAATAAAACTGCCGGGCAGTGGTGGCGCACGCCTTTAATCCCAGCACTCGGGAGGCAGAGGCAGGCGGATCTCTGTGAGTTCGAGACCAGCCTGGTCTACAGAGCTAGTTCCAGGACAGGCTCCAAAACCACAGAGAAACCCTGTCTCGAAAAAAAAAAAAAAAAAAAAAAAACAAAAATAAAACTTAAAAAAGGGAGGGAAGCCAGACATTGTAGCATTTGTCTCAGGTCCCAGGACTCCTATGGAAAATTGGGAGGAATCCCTAGAGGCCAGGCTGGTGTAGAGTGTGTGCACACACTCACACAATCCCAACACATGGGGGAAGAGACTAGCTTGGGTGACATGGAAACCTATGAAGAGCAATTCTTGTCAGGGATGCTGGCACAAACCTTTAATCCCAGCACTCAGGAGGCAGGAGCAGACAGCTGTCTTCCAGACCAGGCTGGTTACAGTGAGTCTCAACAAAAAAAGGGATTCTTCGTCACAAGCACAGTCCTACCCAGGAGGCACTGCTGCTTCCTTCAGTTTTGCACCTCCTGATACCAGATGGCATTGTAAATGGAAATCAGCCTGAAGACTTGCGCCAGGCCTCACCACTAAGCAGTCCCTGAGAGGTGCAGGAGCCAGAGCGGTCAAATGCCTCTCCAAACAGCTCTGGGAAAGAGATGTTTTAAACTCACAAGGGCATGGGGACTGTGCATGACTCAGCAGTACAGGGTTCGACAGGCATGCACGATGCCATGCTGCACATTCATCTCTAGCACTGCAAAAGAAAACTGTGAAGGGAACCTATGGGGAAACCAGCTAAGGGTGATAGAAATACCTTCAAGTCCTGCAAGAGATAATTGAGTTGGTCATCAAAATTCAATTTTCAAGCCGGGCGATGGTGGCACACGCCTTTAATCCCAGCACTCGGGAGGCAGAGGCAGGCGGATCTCTGTGAGTTCGAGACCAGCCTGGTCTATAGAGCTAGTTCCAGGACAGGCTCCAAAGCCACAGAGAAACCCTGTCTCGAAAAACAAAACAAAACAAAAAATTAATTTTCAGGGCTTGAGCAATGGCTGTTCTTCAAGAGGCTCTGAATTCAATTTCCAGCAACCACACAGTGGCTCACAACCATCTGGAATGGGATTTGATCCCTCCTGGCATGCAGCAGTGTATGCAAGGCAGAGTTTATGTATGTAACAGCACTCACACATAAAATATATAAATTAATCTTTAATTTTTTTCCTAAGGAAATAGACATTGGGGCTGGTCACTAATCCCAACAATGGGAAGCAAGAGGCAGAAGGAACTCTTGAATTCCAGGGTAAAGATGAATACATAGTGAGACAGTACCTCAAGAATGGGGGGGGGGGGGCGGAGAGATGGTTACAAGCACAGACTGCTCCTCCTGAAGTCCTGAGATCAATTCCCAGCAACCACATGGTGGCTCACAGCCATCTATAATGAGGTTTGGTGCCCTCTTCTGGCGTGCAGGCATACATGCAGGCAGAATGTTGTATAATTAATAAATAAATCTAAAAAAAAAATAGAGGGGGGTAGGAGAGGAGAGTGGGAGAGAATACTTCCATGGGAATTTAAAATAAACCAGGTCTAGGCACCAGCGCTTAGGAGGTGAAGGATCAGGAATTAGGATAGAATTCATCCAGCAGAGGGCTTAACTATCATACAAAGCCACAGACTCCATACACACACCATGGCACTCACAGAAGAAATGAAGACATTTTTTTAAATTTTTTTAATGACTATTTTATGTGTAATAGCACTTTGCCTGCATGTGTGTCTGTGTGAAGGTGTTAGACCCCTGGAACAAGAATTAGTGGGTTTTTTTTAAAGATTTATTAATTATGGATACAGTGTTCTGCCTGCATATATGTCTGCACACCAGAACAGGGCACCAGATCTCATTACAGATGTCTGTGAGCCACCATGTGGTTGCTGGGAATTGAACTCAGGACCTTTGGAAGAGCAGCCCCCAGAATTAGTTTTTAGCTGCCATGTGGGTGCTGGAAATTGAACCTAGGTTTTTGGAAGCTTTTGGAAGCCAGTGCTCTTAACTGCAGTCATCTCTATAACCCCATAGTTTGTGTAGCCTGACAGTCCCTGAATTTAGAGATCCCCGCCTGTCTCTGCCTGCTGAGTGCTGGGATTAAAGGTGTGCACCACACAACCTGCGGGAACTTGATGCATGAGCCAAGGACACCGCAGTGAGAGAACTTGTCTTAACTGGATTCAACCATGCTCAGGACCACTGTATTTTAAAATCTTCAGAAAGAAGATGGGCTAGAAAGAAGGCTCACTTGTTATTTTGCAGGGGACCAAGTATTTAGTTCCTAGAACCCACATAGCAGCCCACAACTACCTATAACTCCAGTTCCAGATTAGGTGCAGACCCTGTGGGCACTGACACTGTAAACGGAATTAGCCTGTCTTCTCACCACTAAGTAGTTCCTTTAGGGGCGCAGGTGTCAATCTGAGGACACCCATCACACACAGCACACCCACATACACGTTAAGTAGACATACACATAAAAATTAACTTAGCTGGGTGTGGGGGCATGTCTTTAATCTCAGCCTTCAGGAGTAGTAAGAGTCAGGTTGTGTTGCTTTTTTTCCCTTTTGTTTTGCAAAGCAGAATTTCTCTGTGTAGCTTTGCAGCCTGTCCTAGAATTCACTCTGTAGATCAGGCTGGCCTCAAACTCGAGATTCACCTGCCTCTGCCTCCCAGGTGAAGAGTCGGGCTATTTAACGTTCACAAATCTCTTTTGAGTCATCCCATCTTGCAAGTGCACACAGGGGAGTTTGAATCTAGCATCCTGGCACAACCTGGGGAAACTACTCTACCACAAACCCAGCCCTTTAAGAGAATCAAGTCTCCAGCTAACCAAGACTCAGTGCAGCAGCACTAGCTCTAGAGATGGCCCACGAGGACTCGTCTTTCCCAGCCTTTTCTTAGTTATAACTGTGCTCCTCCCAGCCACTCCACCAGATCCGCTTTCTGGACAGCCTTTATTAACTTGAGTCAGTATTGTTCTGACAACGCTCACATCTAAAGACAATCACCCTCCATCGCTCACCCAAGACCCTGCTCTCCTAAGACCTTGTCACTCTGCTGGAGGGGACAGCCACAAGACAGACACCAGTTTTCAATCAAGCTTTTAATGAAAAGATCATAAAATAACAGTTTCTCAATACTGTACATTAAGACTGCACGCTTTTGAATGGAGAGATCAGTCCTGAATAAATCATTCTGACCTGAATGCATCCATCCAGACTCTTTAGGGATGTAAACTCAATGTGGTAAGTGGCAACAGTGGTGACCAGTACAGGAGTGCGATCCCTGCATCCCTCCCCTACTCCGGGAAGGGCACAGAGGATGTGATCCCTCTTCCAGTTCCAATTAAATGAATAAAAAGATATACCCCATCCCTCCTGAGGTATTTGCACATGGGATGGATGGGGCCCAACCTGGGGCCCCTGGAGGAAACAAGTCATGGGTTAGGTACAGGGAGGTTCCTTTAAGCACCTGGCCCCATGGGGCCCCACCAAATGGAGGGGGGGGCCCTGGGAACTCCCTGACCCAAGTGAGGTCTGTTATGCAGCATTTGAGGTCAATAAATTACAGCAATAAATAGCAAGGTGAGGTAGGGGGAGGGGTCCCTGGTAGAAAGTTAAAGTAAGGTGACTGAAGCTGTAGGCATCCTAGGAAGGGGTCCTGGGCAGCTCATTTCCACAGCTTCCACCCTTCCCGGGTTGGAATGTCAGACTGAGGTCGGGTCCCTCGCTAGCCCTCATTCCTGGCATCCAATTCATAGGTTCAGTAACATTGGCCCCATAGTGACTGGGGAAAGGAAGACCTTGGTCCTTTTAGTGGAGCACAGCAAGGCTTGAGAGCCTGTCTATTCTTTCCAGGCCTGTCCCTTGGCTTCTGCCTCCGTCCCGAGCACTTGCTCCCTGAGCCCTGCCCTCCTGGCTGCCCAGGATTCCCCCTACTCAGGAAGGCAGCAAGCAGTCGGCCTGCTGAAGCTCAGCAGATCGCACTCCTGCACAAGGACCTGAAGTCCAGTGAATACTGACAGTGTGGGCAGCAGGTGGGGACCTGGCTCCCCTCAGTGTTGATGGACGGAAACACAGTTCCTGGGCCATGTGAGGTCAGGAGTCACTGGCTGAGGTGTATGGCTATGCTGCAAGTCTGAGATTCTTACATGTTCAAAAGTTCATCTTTTCCTTTTTTGCAATCTTGGAAGAGCCCTTGCAGTAGCTCGGTCCAGTGGGAGTGGGCACTGGCAGAGCTGGGCCTGCTTCCACCAGCTAGCCCTAAGTCTGAGAAATAAATACATTCATTACTGCACAAACATTGATAAAAAACAACACTGTTGAGAGTGTTCGCACCATCTGTAGGTAAGGACCAGACTTAAGTCAGACCCTTCTGCTGCCCGAGGTGGGGTTTGCATATGATGGAGTCCACTGAGCTTCTTAAAGCTCCCTGCTTTTTGGCTTGACTGACTCTCACAGTAACTAACAACACAAGGCTCACGGGCAGGGCTGACATCCACCCCTTAGATGCAGCCAGGCGGCCTGGGGGCTGGTCAGCTTGGTGCACGCTCTTTGGTGGCAGCTGAGCTTGAAGAGACCCCCAAAATGGGGATTAGGGCTCAGGTGAAGCTAGGGGGGAGGGGTCTTCTAGTCCTTACCCAGCACCCAGGGCTGCCTCTGCCCTTGAGCTGCTCAAGGGTCAACGCAGAGGGACCCAGGAGGGAGGGGAAGAGGTCCCTGGGACTGGCCGTATAGCTGCTGAGGTCTGAAACTGTAAAAGTTTATGTAAACAATGAGATAAATATATTAGTATCTTTTTTTTTCTGAGCCCACTGAGGTTCCATACTCATTCAAAATGTGCTTTGGTTTAAAAAATAGGTTTTGTGAATTTGGGTATGAGCTTTTTTTCTTTTGATTTTTTTTCTTTTAAATCTTTTTTTCCTACATGATGTCTGCTATTTTCTGTTTCCTGTTTCTCCAAAACATTCAGGAATCAAATGACTAAAAGAGAACTGTAAGCCACCTTGGCCTCCTATGGCCTGATTTCCTTGAGGCTTTTAACACACACACACACACACACACACACACACACACACAATCATAAGCATGCACCAATAGAAACAAAGGAAAAGGAAAAACAAACCAAGTGTCAATCCCGCCCAGCCCAACAACCCTTAAAATCTTAAATAGGAAACTAGTGTTTTGCTTTCTCAGTAACATACAGACAAGGCTTGGTACAATACTCTGTTGCACAGACGTGCTGAGGGGCTCTGCTCCCAGTCCCTGAATTTCTGCACAGCAGATGAGGCTTCCCACAGCCTGACAGACTTTGTGTCCTGTGGCGTAAGTGCTGGTGGGGTAGGGTAAGGTGGGGTGGGTAGGTAGAGAGCAGAGGCCAGCACGCCCTGCCTCTTCCCTGGGTAGAATGGGGCTCAGTTCTTCACTCAGCTGCTCTGTCTCTGCAAGAGCAGAGAACAGATTACAGGTGTGAAGGATGAAGAACCGGGTCAGTGCAAGGGCACCATGTAGAGGTGCCCTCACTCTCACACTGCCACTCACTGGGTCCCTGAAATCACGCTGGAGGATCTCTGGAGGGGTGGGAGCAGGAAATGTGACTGCAATTTTTGGTCTGAAGTAAAAAAAAAAATCGAAAGGAAAATGAAAAGCCATTTTCATTGTATCTATCAAGCAACATGATAAAGCCTACCGGCCCAGATCTGTGGCTCATCTGTGGCAGAGCACAGACAGCCTTGGTCTGGCCTTGCCCCTTGCTGGACCCCATGCAAGCACCCGAGGCTGGCTGACTTACAGTTTGACCCTGTACTTGCTAAGTGGAGGCTGCCCCTCACCTGACTCTGCAGTAGCTTCTTAGGTACACAGAGCTCAGGAGAAGACAGGATGGGGCCGGCTCACTTCCACCTCACTCAGGCCCACACAGGGAGCTGCCCCTTCTCATGGCTTCTGTTATTCAGGTGCCCAGCACCTGCCCCACACACAGCATCCCCTGAAGAGCAATCATCCCTTCAGAGAACACTGAGGCCCACAAGGGGCTCAGGCCAGCCCAAGCCCAGTTTACTTCTACTGTAGGAAAACAAAACCAAGTGGCTCAGCCTCAACAGTACTGTGGTATTGAATTCAAGAGGTAGCAAAAGGTCACAAGGCTCTCCACCTTGTTTAGTGAGCAAGGAAGCAAAACGTCTGTGCATAAGCAACACACACACAGCCATGCACACACACGCACATACCAACAAGAGTACCGATGGCCCTGGCACAAAGTCTGGCCTCCCCTCCATCCTCTGAAACTTCAGATCTTCCAGTTCAAACACCTCAAAAAACATATGAGAGTGTGTGTGTGGGGGGGGGGTTCTCAATAAAATAAGTACCTCTATCAAGTGATATTCCTTGGAAATTATGGGAAAAGCCTATTCTCCTGAGGAAGCCCAGGCAAGCAGGGCTCAGGACTGGGGAAGCCTTTGCACAAGAATGGCTTCTGGGGCCTTGGAGAGACAGGTTCAACCATGTCCACAGCACCAGGACGAGGGAAAATGACAGGGCGGGGGCAGCTGCCCCAGTTACATTCAGTCTGCAGAGCCAGGCTCATCCCCAAAGAGGCGGGAGGAAAATATTGTTCATTTTGGTTTTAAAAAAGAATTTTTAAAAACTGTAAAAAAGAAATAGGAACAGCTCAGTAGGAATAACAGCATTACAGGCCCAAAGGGCTCTTTAGTTGTAGAGAGGTAGGCAGTGGGGTCACCCTGACTGTCCAGTGCCAGCTAGCAGTTGCCACCCCAGTTCAAAGAGAAAGGAACTGCCACCCAACACCAGCTTCCCGACACCAGAGTCACACTGCACTGCAAAGATACAAGCACACATGCACACACACAGTTGAGGTCCCTGCCAGCTGAGGGCCTGCTCCAGGCACCACTTGACCATGGGAAGCCCTGTGCCTCCCCCAGCCCAGACCGCAGGTAAGGGACCAGGTCCCACTGACACCACATGATGGGCTCCCACCAGCTCTTCAGCAGCCCCTTCAGGGAGCTGGGGAGCCAAGTGGGCGGGGAGGTAGAATAGTCACCAGCACCACACGCACAGGGCTGGCCCGGGCAGCTTCTCTCCTCTCAGCTTCCCTTGGTACACTGTTGATTAAAGCTCTGGGTGTGGGGAAGCTGGGCCAGAGAAGCTGCCGGGAGCCTCGTGCCAGACTTTGGGGTTCAACCCCTCCCACCATGCTTCCTTACTCCTCCTTCCGTGGGTTCCCAAGTGGCAAGTCTGCAGAGGGCTCCCTCGGGTCTTTGGCTTCTAGGAAGGGGAGGTGTGCATGCGCAGGTGGCTGATGAGGTTGCGCTGCTGGGTGAACTTGCCCCCACAGAGCTGGCACTCATAGGGTTTCTCACCTGAGTGCACACGCATGTGCTCTGTGAGGCGGTACTGGCGGGTAAAGCGCATGCCACACTCATCGCAGGCAAAGGGCTTCAGGCCCAAGTGGCTCCGCATGTGGCGTGTCATAGTGCCTCGCTGTGTGAACATCTTGCCACAGATGTTACAGGGGAAGGGCCGCGTCAACCAGTGTGTCTTCTCGTGTTGCCGCAGTGTGGCCGGGTCCTTGTAGGTCTTCTCACAGACTGAGCACTTGAAAGGACGGGGCTCAGCTGCATAGGCTGCACTAGGTGTTGACAGGTCCTCAGCCTCCTCCTCTGCACCCCCACTGCCGGTCTCATAAGCTCCTTCTTCCTTGATGAACAACTCCTCCTCTGTGTGTGTCTCTACATGAGCATTAAGCTGCTCAGAGCTGGGGAAGCCCTTGGCGCAAGGGATGCACACATAGAGGTTGTCTCCATACGACACTGTCTCATAGCCTTCCTGCCGGTACACATAGTGGGCGCCAGGGTGGCCACTGCCCCCCTCACTCCCACTCTGCCCACTGTCCTCGCTCCCATCTTTGCCATTCTCCTCTTCTTCCTTGCAGGGGTATGGCGGCTCCCCATATGACCCACTGGGGCCACTTCCACCAACACTGCTGGCCAGAATGCCATTGGGAACCCTGTCCCCAAGCCCCTCACCTTCTTCCCCTGGGTTGGGACCCTTAATCCCAGTTTCTCTCCGGTCAAATGGGGACCCAGACACAGACTCCTTTTTGTTCCAATCTTTTTTGCGGGCTGAATGCCGTAGGCTCTTGCGAGGTTGCCCGCCCTGTCCTTCCAGCAGACTCGTGTGGTTTTCTTCAGCCCCTTCCAGATCCATGGGCTCATCAGGAGGGGGCCCTAGCTCAACAAATGAGGCACTGTTGCCAACAGGCAGCGTGGAGGCTGAAGTGGGTGCAGGTGAGTCATGCTGGCTGTCACTCAGCTGGGCAGGGTCCTCGGGAGTGAGGTGGGGGCCCGGGGTTGTAGGAGGTAAGGGAGGACTCTTCTTAGACAGATCCAGACCCAGTTCCTGCTCACAGCCCCCACTGTTCCCACTGGTGCTGTTGCTACAAGCCCCCAGGCCCATCTCCCCACCAGCTGGGCAGCCCCCCAGGCCCAGGCCATGTGTGCTCTCCTGGGTAGAGCTGCCCAGAAAAAGCTCATCATCTGATCCTTTGGCCTGAGGGACCTCTTGGGGAACAGGGTGTCCTTTGCGCCCATCTACAAGCCCTGGATACCGAGCCTGGATGACAGAGGCTGTAGATAGCCGCTGACTACGGGTTGGTCGCCCCATACCAGCAGCGCCCACTCGGCCAGGGCCAAAGGGCTTGCCAGCTCGCTTCAGTTTGCGGCGGCAGAGGGCTGCCAACTCAGGCAGCTGGAGGTAGCTGGCAGCAGTGAGGAGAGTGCTGAAGTTGGGCTCAGATGGCTGGTCACTGGGCAGCAGCTTGCCCGTGTAGATGAAGTCCAGTATCTGCTGGAACACGGTGGAACTAACCATATCTGTATCTAGGTTGATGAGGTTATCATGCAGGACCAGGGACTTGAAGTAGATGCTACTAGCAGCCAGGACATTCTTGTGGGCCCGGAAGATAGAGTTCTCCACCATGATGATGACATCACACAGGAAGCCCTTGGTCCTCTGCTGGTTCAGCTGCAGCAGGAGCTGTTTTGAATGGCTGGGCAGCTCCATGTCTGGCCCCATGTCCCTGCGCCCTGCCCACGGGCACCACCTGTGGGCAAGAACAGGCAGGATAGTTAACCTGCAGCCTGCATGAAGGTCTGGCACAGGGTATGCACTGAGTCGTCCCAATTCCACCCTCCTGGGGCACAGTGTAACAGGACAGGTCTCCATTCACGAGAAAGGGGAGTGTATCTGCCCATCCCCTGCCATTCACTTACATGAAAAAAAAAGAGGTTATGATAAATAAAGATGCCGAGCAAACAGTGGCTTACAGACTGGAGATGGCTTCTTGGTGCTCCTGATAGCCATCTGTAATTCCAGTTCCCGGGGATCTGACCCCTTATGACCTCCACAGGAGCAGACACACAAGTGGTGCACATATATACACGTAAGCAAAACACTTAGATACATAAACAGAAACAATTCTAAAAAAAATTTAGTGAGGTTTGAATTTTACTTTGTTACTGGTTTCAATTCTAAGAGTCAGTCACTCCCAGGCTGAGAACATAAAAAATGGGCAGCAGGTGGCAATGGAAGTTGGAGAGCAAATGTCCCTCTAACAAACTAGGGGCCACAGAATAAACTGGCCAGTCCTGCCTAGGCATGTAAACCCACAGGACTGGTCTTCCCAGATTTCCAGATTTTTGGGGGGCGGGGGGGCAGGGCGGTAATTTCCTTATGTTGAAAAGTTAAATTTTAAAAGATAAAAAAAAAGCAAGCAAACAAAAAACCCTATAAACCAAACCCAGTTCCTTTGGCAGTCTCTGGCCTGTCACCTTTGTTCTACCCTGGTATACTCTCAAACACCCCTCCAGGTAGACAAGGGTTCCCGGTTTGCTAGCTCCTGGTCCTGACCGTGATACTGTACTCTCTGTTCCTAACTGCTGGATCCTTACAAGCTCTCCACTATCTGGAGACACTAACTGAGCACTATCTGAGCCTAATGAACCTCATGGGCTCTGCATCCTTATTAGGAAAGACAGTTTGCCATCTGGGGTCTGGGAAAGGCAGTGAGTTGTCCCTTCCAGACAGGCTGCATAAACTTCCCTTGTAGTCACTAAGTAACACACTCACAAATGCCTCTGTCTCCAAAGGAACCTGTCAGCGGAACAGCAGTGTGTGCAGGTGGGGTCCAGGCTTTCTGTCCACCTAGGAAAAGCACCTCAGCCAAGCAGGACACACCACAGACAGTGCCCCAGGGGGTCAGAAGTACTCCTAGTAGACCTCAGCTGCACTCAACTCCTCCACCCAAAAGGGGACATTCCAGTGCCTAAGTGGCTACCTGAGCCCACTCGAAAGCTTCCTGAAACCACAGGCCATGGAGACACTGCTGCCAGCAAGGCAGCATAGCAAGAGTCTGGGGCTCCAACAGCTTACAAATAGCTCTGCATCTCCCCGTTTAGGGTGCAATCTCTCCCTCTGTAGACCCACCTGACCTGGAACTCGATATGAAAACCAGACTGGCCTGTACTCACAAACTTGACCTCCCTTTCCTCTTGGAGTACCCGCATTAAATGGACTGTACACTACCATATGTGGCTTCTGGGTCCGATTTGTGTAAGGAGCTGAATTTCTCTGAAGCGCTCCACCACCTATGATGTCCTGCCCTTTCCTCGCCACAGTCCTGTCCACCTGGGTGGGCCTACTATTTCCCCACAAATGACAAAAAGTTGTCTTCAAACCAACACCTGCCCTTGTTCAGAGAAGGAAATCCCATTTATCCCGAAGTTCCAGAATACACCGCGAATTAACACAGTCTTCCAGAAAGCACTTACCAGGGGGCTCAGCCTGTTCCTTGCTCACAACTGAAGCAAGTCAGAGATGACTATGTGGCCCAGGCAATGAAAACCAAACTTGTCTACCAGCTAGGCAGAAACAAAGAGCCTAAGATATGGCCCTAAGTATCAGTGCCAGGGCAACAGCAGTGCCGACTCTACTAGCAATAATACCTGGTGTCACAGGCCTTGGCCACAAGTCCTAGACTCTTCACATGCTGCCTGCCTGCTCTGTGCACATACAATGGACTCAAGTCAGGGCAGAGTCTACACTGCAAAGCTGTATAAAAGACCCAGAAAACCCCAAGAACTGGAAACCATGGTGATTCTTCCTTCTCCCAGCCTACCGGAGTGCCAGGGGCCCAGACACCATGTGAGCAGCAGCCGGCGGGGGTGGCCTCCTTGAGTACGCAGACTTCCTGAGGGTGCATCAAAGCCTGGTTACCTGGAAGAAAAAGGCAGGCATCAGTTAGGAGGGAAGAAAGGAGCGTGAAGGAGGGTCACATATTTTACTCCCAAACACAGGTCCACCAACAAAACAAGAGACAAAAGAAAAAAATGCGGGATCTAATATCAGGGAGGCACTGCCTAACTCCTAAAACACAGCGTAGATGTCCCACGCCTTTAATCCAACACCTTTAATCCTAGGACTCTCAGAGGCAGGCGGGGTGTCTGCAAGTAAATTCAGCCTGCTCTATATAAGAGGGTTTGGGGTGGCCATGGAAAGACCCAGTCTTAAGAAAACAAAGAAAAGAAAAAGAAAAGAAAAATCCCTGGAAGTCATCGTGGGAGGCTAAAGCAAGGTTGACCTTATTTACATAACAAAAGTTCAAAATGGAACCACTAGTGGAAGGGCTGTTTATAACAGTCATCTGCCACCTTTCCCTTCTCTTGGAGACACAGCACAGTTCAACCCTACAAAACAGCCAACAGCAGTCCCAGGTGAGGGGTGCTCCACTCTGAGTCCTACAGGATGAGGAACTTTGAGATTATAGATCCAACAGCCTGGTCTCCCCCTAGAAGCCAGTGGAAAGAACCTGCAGCAGCCAGGAACCCTTCTTTGTCAGCCCTTCCCCCACTCCTTGAGGGCAGGTCCCTCAGGAATGTGACCAGACCTGGGGTGCAGGCCTTAGGCTGAGGTCTCTGTCCTTGGCTTCAGGGGGTTAGCTGTCTCTCCTGCCCTGGGAGCAGCTCCATTATCCCAAAGGCCACAGAACAAAGAACTAGTTCTTTAGCTCGAGTTTGAAGCTAGCTGGTCACCCAAAGGACAAGGGACAGAAGCCAACAAAATTGGCGAGATGGGTAACAACCATAGAACCAGGTAACTCACGTTAGCCAGCCAGACACCTGCCAAGCAGCCAAAACAGCCCTGTCAGCCTTCTGCCTTCCCAAATCCAGAAACTACGGAGGGACTGGGACAGCAGGAGTGTCTGCTGTGCAGCAGGTTAGTATGAATGGCTCGTCAAGGTCCTTACAGTGCCCTCCACCAGGGGGAGATAAAGCCAGCCCTACAGAGAGCTTGAGTCCTCATTCCACAGGAGGCCCTGCACCTACAAATCACTGCTCTCTTCTTCCCGGTCCAGTCCGAATGATGGCGACCTGGTGTCTACCCTAAGTACTTCCCTTGGAGAAGCTAGTGTCTGGGGGACTGAGGATTGAGAAGTGGCTAGATAAGTTGCTCCTAACAGCTCCTAACAGCTCCAGCAGCTCCTAACAGGTAGCAGTGCCTATTAACTAAGGATAACAAGCCTGACAGGACTGCGAACCCAAAATGGGCACCTATAGCCACCTGGGTCAGTGGGACAGATGACCTTGGATCTCAGGGCTGACCAAAACAAATCCTTCTGAAGCCAAGGAAAAGGTGAAAGCCAGCACAGAAACTGCCTTTTGTCTAGAAACCTCCAGTTACACAGGCTTCCCCTGTGGGTGGGCCCAGTAAGTCTGACCTCTGCAGCCAAGGTCCAACTTGCTCTACTGTAAACACAAATAGAAGAAATAATACAAGTCTGGGTTACTTTCCCGGCTCCCACATTAGATATCAGTATATGGCCTTGATGGAATAGTATGCACCCATTTATCCTCCTTTTTCACTACTTCCCATCACAGAAAAGTTAGAGGCACGTGCCCCTCTCTGAGGGTTGTCTGTGAACACAGAAATGGGCTAGCATAGTACACATACACCACACAGCACAGCACACACCATACAGCTCCCTCCCTCCAAGAGGTTTTAGAGATGCATTTAACTCAGGGTACCACAGCCTCGTAATACTCTACATTACAGGACACTAGTGATTTTACCCTTTGGTCTCATGATCAAATAATCACTGACCCATAGGATAAAATTCTAATAGTCTTTCAGACAAGGTTGCATATATCTCAGGCTGACTTCCAACTTGCAGCAAGATGAACTTCACCCACCTCTATCTTCCAAGAGCTGGGGTTACAAGCAACACATAACCACCTCAATATGTGACACTTAAACAATTTCTACTAACTAACTGATTTTGTGCTACACCACTTTGGGAAAAAATAAGACTGAACTACATATTCTTTCATATTTTAAACCAGGTGTGAAGGCTCCGAGCTATATTCTCAATACTTAGAAGGCCTCAGAGGCACAAGGATTACATGTTCAAAACCATTATGAACATCAGACTAAAACCTGCCTCAAAAACAAGGGCCAGCCTAATGTGGAGGCACACTCCTTTAATCCCAGTTCAAGGCCAGCCTAATCTACTTAGCTCCAGGAGAGACAGAGAACTGACTGGTTGTCCTCCGACCACCACCACTTCACACACACCGTACAAAGAAAGGACAGGCAGATAAATTCCAGTCACTGGCTGAGCGGAAGATGCCATTTACAAACTCTACAAAAGGCAAAACCGTAGCTCCTGACTCCTCCAACTGGAGCGCCACTGGTGTCTCCAGTCAATGAAAGCCCAGTCCAGCACAATCTAGCATTCATTCACCCTACTTGCCCAACGAATGCAGCATTCAAATAGCCAATGAAATAGACAGACAGCAGAGCCTGAGTTTCCCACCATCAGCTACTGCCTCCTGCCCCTCAGAATGAAACTTGACTGGGGGAAGGACCGCCATGACCCTGCTGAGGAAAAGGATACAGCATCCATGTAGCCTTAAGAACTAGGGAAGGAGAAGGCTTCCTCTTCCCTATACACAACAATGGGATAGGAGAGCCTTGCTATGGCCCAGCGTTTATAAAGACTTGAGAAAGATTTTAAGATGAAAGCGATTCTTGTTTAAGGAAGAAATTAAGAAAGACTCCACTCTATCCTTCCAAAAAGTGCTGCCCCAAATCAGCCTAGACACCCACCTTGCCCAGTGCCATGGTCTCCAGAAGCTGCACACTCAGCGCCGTGCTGTGCCTCGTGGAACTCTCTCTGGACATCAAGCTGGTAGCTCAGCTTCTAGGACAAGAGGACTTCAGGCCCAGACTCAGGGTGTGGTTTCAAGCCACATGATACTCCTCACCCTTCTACTCAATGCCTGATTCCCTCAGGCAGGAATGAACCCTGCTGGAGGCATCCTAGGGCACCTGGACTGGAATTCCTCTGCTTCACACCCAGTCAGGAGGCCTGGTGAAGAGGGGAAAGGCCAGGAAAGGGGGCCATCCCACTCAACACTCTGGAGAACCTTCTCATCCTGTCTTTTTTCCTTATCCTGGCAGCCATACTTTTCCAGAAGTGTGCTTCCGCAGAAGGTCTGGGGGACTAAGAGGAGGCTCCTGCCTGGCTCATCCCAAGGAGTTTCTTCTACCATCCACATTCCTGAGTGCCACTACCAGGAGAGGGATAAGCTATGAGCCCAGGAGCACCGATGAACACAGCATGGCGACTCGGCAGCTTCTATACCCCAGAGATTTAAGCACATCTAACTAGTACTAGCGTCAAAGAGGGCCCCAGAGACTGTTACTACTGTCTGTAACCTCAGTGAGAGAAGTTGGTTTCACTCACCATTATGGCAATCTCATATTCCACATGTGGCTCTCCTCAAGCCTGGACTGCCTGTAAGAGATTAAGCAACTGAGAATCTAGGCGATTCCCAAAGCCTAGTTCAGAACCTAACTACTGGCACAGCCACAAACTGGAGATTCCATTTAACCCTGTGCCTGTCCTGGACTCCTCCATGAAACCCTATCCATCCTGGCCTTCTACATCTGCCCAAGTGAGATAGGTTTTCTAGGGGTGGGGGGCTGTGCAGTGACTGAACAGGTCTGAGCAGGTCTGGTGTTAGTGAAGCCTCCCACAGGCTTGAAGACCATTATCTCTACCTCCAGCTGCAGATAAGGTTCTTGGGGGTTAAGCAACTTGCCCACAGAAAAGAGTACACAGGTAGCAGAGTGAGAACTGACTGAGAAGGGGGCTGTGGTCAATTTTCCTCACTCCCAGGAAGGGCCTCTAACTACAGAGCTTTTTCCTCACTCCCAGGAAGGGCCTCTAACTACAGAGCTGCTAGGAGGAACTCAGGCTCCTTCCCCTCCCAGCCCTGGAGGCCTTGAAGCCTTACTCATGTTAAGGCCTAGGGTTCAAATCCAGCGTCACAAAAAATTAACAATACCCTCCCCACACACCTGCCTTTTCTCATGAACTGACTGTGAGGGCACAAGTCTAGCTCCTCCATCAGAAGACACAAAGTGAAGCCACGAATCAGCATGAACTAGGAGTTAGGGGGTTTGGTGCCTCTCTAACAATACCCCTAGCCAGGTGTGCTGACCTCCTGCCCTTTAGCTTTGGGCTTGGTAGTGGGTGGGGCTCATTGCTCTGGGCAAGCCCAGCCAAATAATTCAGCCCAGATCTGGATACTAGCCAGCCACTCCTGGCTCTCTCCCAAGCCATCCTCCTGGAAAGCAAAAGGCACTTCAAATGCCAAGAGCCCAGCCCTCCTCTTGTCGCGGCTCCTATGAGATGCAACGCTCAGGTTCTACGAAGAACATAAGTGCCATGGTATCAGACACAAGGACTGGCCTCCTCCTCCAATCCAACGGGCAGCTCTTGCAAAGGGGAGAGAGACACCACTCTAGCCTATGGCCTTTTTCAAATCTATCCTGAAATGTTCCAGGGACCTATTAGAGACTTGCTTGCTGCCTACTTGAAGCTGACTGCCTAGACACAGACCACCTGTCCAAGCATGCTGCTCCCACAGCAAGGCAAGTAACCCTCACTATAAGAAAGACCAGAGGGATGAGAGGCACCGTGCAGCACCAATAACACCAGGCCCTGCGCCCTTGAAGGCACAGCCTCATCCCAGTCCATTTAACTTCAGTGTCAGTATTCCTTGCCATATCTGCCCTGTCAGCTCCAGGCCACTCTAGCTGACAGCAGGAGAATCTTCATTGACAAAGTCAAATAATAATTTGAGATTGTGATGAATTATTACAGAAACCAGATCACCTGCAACACAACAGGAGCTTAAAGACAAACAGAC